TTTCCCCCCCACCCCTACTAGCTAGCGTAGCTGTAACTAGTGTCGTATGATAGCATTTGAAACACTACGTAAAATATTTCCAAAAAGCCAGAGATGTGAGTCATAGGGACAGGATGTTTAAAAAACTGCTAAGTTAAGACTGAATGAGTAGATTTCAGATGTTCTTTGAAGACATTTCATTGCTGATGCAAAAAGCTTCTTCACGTCCAACTGAAGAAATCCAAGGCCTTTAAATTGTTAGCCAGTTATAATTAAAATGGTGAAATGTGCTGATATGGTGTATATTCTTTGGTGTCTTCTGTACAACAGGAAGAAGCACACATTAGAAAGTCTTACCAGAGTACGACAGCTCCCGCTGGGCTCTCTGCTGTGTCTCTGCAGTTTGTATTGTAGGAGTCCAGACGGCCTCTCCTGCTCGACTGCTGCACTGCAGCGGGTCTGCTCTGAGCAGCCGGCTCTCTGAGCGACCGCTCACTCTCTCACTCTTCATCCTCGTGGAGCTGAGTGCTGTCGTGACTCCTATCCCATCACCCAGGTCCCCATCCACCATATCATCGTTCAGGCTGCAGTCCTCACTGAGCTCCTCCATCTGAAAAAGGTCCCAGCTAAACTGGACACAGGCCACATACTGGTTTCATCACAGCTGGGAAACACATTTAAATACTGCGTGTAGACAAGTAGCCAGTCCTCAGATATTCCTGCGTACAAGTCTGAGCACAGAAGTCTGGATGGGATTTGTATGATTTTTGCCGTGTAGAAATTTTTTATTTGCATTTTTCTTGTTTCATTGTAAATGAGGTGCATGTAGTCATTATAATATAACATTAAAATGCACGACACTGTTGATAAAAAGCTCCAGGAACATGAAATACAGCCTCGTTTTCTGTTCAGTGTGGATGAGTATAACACGCAGAGTTGTTACAAAGTAACACACTGCACTTGTTACAGTAAAGGCTGTAACTACAGCTGAAAGTAAGAGACAGACGTGGAAGGAGGAGCCACTTTATGCCTGTAACATCGTTCACTATGACTGGTTTGGCAGTGGGTCAGTGATGGCCTGGGGATACGTCCACGGGACACAGACCTCTGCAGGCTAGCCACTAGCACCCTGACTGTCATTG